TGCTCATATATTCTAATTTGTTGAGATAGTGAATTGGTGGGTTTTTGTTAAATGTGAGCCAAAATCACAATTAAAAGAACCAAAGACTTAAACTACTTCAGTCTGTGTGCATTGAATTTATTTAATACACGAGTTGAATTACTAAAATGAACTTTTCCACGACATTCTAATATATTGATATGCACCTGCAATATATGCTTTTTTGAACATTTTAGCAATTTAAAAATATTAAAAAATTATTTTTTACACTGCACCCCTGCTCTCGATAGACGGCACCCTGGTTGGGAAACACGGGTTTACACTACTCTCGAAAACAGAGACGTTCGAAAACGCTGCAGACCCCGTTTTAGTTTGAAAACTCCGGGGTTGTGATCAGTGTAAATGGACCAAAACGGAGACTTTGCACATTCGCTCCGCGTATCCTTGACGACCGTGTAAACAATAACATCATGCTCAGTGTTGTACCTGCATGAATGGTCATGTGACATGCGCTTTCGGTTGTGTAGTGTGGACGGAGAACGTTCCTGAAACGCAGTGAAAACACAAGTGTAGATGAGGATCGTTTTCATTTTAAAAACGGCGTTTTAAAACGAAATCGCACTAGTGTAAACGTAGCCTGAGTTTGTTGTGATCGGAGCAACTTTACAGGCTGATATAGTGTGTGATCCTCAGTCGTTTAGTGTATGATGGCCAGTTTTTCCTCTGCGACTATTACAAAGTTGGTAAATGAGTTGTGTAGTGTATTGCAGCCTTTAGTGCATCCTTGCTGAATAAAAGTATTGATTTCTTTTCTTTTTAAATCTTACTGACCCCAAACTTTTGAGCAGTATTGTGTATTTTCTGATAGTAATGTATTACATTTTTATTTTCACAAATATAAAACATACTTTTCAATTAAAAAAAAGCTAACTTGGAGAAACATAATTTGAACATTACATTTTCCAACATTATAATCAGTAGCTTTAAATTTGAAATATACGTTTTCATTCAAAATAATACTCAAATAGGTGTGTGGTCAGCCAGTTTACTACGGTAGGAAACTTGTTTATTGTTTCTGTGGCAACGTGTATTTCGAGAGTTGGTTTTCTTTAAATAAAAACGTCAAATCTTAAAAAGCGGAAAATAAGGTTTCCAAGTGGTTTGTGTTAGGGATTGGGCATCAAAGTGCAGGTAAATGTTCGGGTCACGAGGGGTGGAGGCCTCTCTAGTAGCTCAGCTTCCAAAGGGCTGGCATGCTTGTAATGCGCTGGCTGAGATTTTGCTTGACAATCCTCATAAGGCTGCGGTTCTCTCGGTTGGTTGTGCATCTTTTTCTTCCACACTTTTTCCTTCCACTCAACTTTCTGTTAACATACTTGGATACAGCACTCTGTGAACAGCCAAGCTTCTTTGGCAATGAATGCTTGTGGCTTACCCTCCTTGTGAAGGGTGTCAATGATTGTATTCTGGACAACTGTCAGATCAGCAGTCTTGCCCATGATTGTGTAGCCTAGTGAACCAAACAGAAACCATTTTGAAGGCTCAGGAAACCTTTGCAGGTGTTTTGAGTTGATTAGCATGTCACCATATTCTAATTTGTTGAGATAGTGAATTGGTGGGTTTTTGTTAAATGTGAGCCAAAATCACAATTAAAAGAACCAAAGACTTAAACTACTTCAGTCTGTGTGCATTGAATTTATTTAATACACGAGTTGAATTACTAAAATGAACTTTTCCACGACATTCTAATATATTGATATGCACCTGCAATATATGCTTTTTTGAACATTTTAGCAATTTAAAAATATTAAAAAATTATTTTTTACACTGCACCCCTGCTCTCGATAGACGGCACCCTGGTTGGGAAACTGTGACAGTTTTTTAGGATTCTTTGATGAATAAAAGTTTAAAAAAAGAACAGCATTTATTTTAAATAAAAATTCCTCCCACCCCCTCTTTATCATATCGTTATAACTCATCTTCATAAGACCAATAAAATGAATTGTTGGCCTTCTGGAAAGTATGTTCATTTACTGTACATGTACTCAGTACTTGGTAGATTCTCTATGGGGTTCAGGTCCGGTGAGTCTGCTGGCCATTCAATCACACCAACACCATGGTCATTTAACTAACTTTT